AAGTCCTATTTTGATATTTTTTATGTTTTAGTCCTATTTAGGGTGATTTCTATTCCTATTTTGGTACTTTGTCTATGTTTTATTTCTTTAAGCATTAAAGTAATTAAACACAAAAGGATAAATGCGTCACACAAGGAAAAGGAAATATGGAAGTTAATAACTCCATGTACAATGAAAAGAGACGGAAAAAAGGGAAGATTTGTATGCAAAACAAGAGGAAGGAGATGGAAAGAAAACAAAAACAAAAAAAGGACGAAAGAGAAAAAACAAAGATGAAAATAAAAAAAGAGGGAAGTAGAGTTATCGCAGAAGAAAACCAAAAAAACAGAGGGACGAAGATAAAACAAAAAAAACACACAAAATAAAACAAAAAACAAGAAAAAAACTCCTGGTCATCTATCTATATACAAAGCAGAAAAGATGAAGCAAAGTGGGTCGCAACTTTTCTTGGGCTTTTCACCGTGCCTCTTCATATTTCCCTCTTCATATTCCTCTCTTTCTCTGACGGCAATCATCTAGGGTTTTAAGCATGTCTCCTCCCGTGGCCATGGACAACGGAGAAAGGAGGGGCATCGATCGGAAATTGCAACCTGGCCTTAAGCTTAGCCTCGCCCTATCTGCCCGAAGCTTCTTCGGCATCTCTCTATCCAAGTATTTAACCAATCTCTCTTTTTTAACCTTCAGATCTGAATAATCAGAAAAAACGAAATAAGCAAGTTCCAGACTTTCCCTTCAGTTCTCCTGTTGTTCTTGCTGCAAGAAGAATCAGCTGCATAGGGCTAATTTTCAACGCCGGGCTAGGTATTTTTTTATTTAATTTTATTTTAGTTATTTAGTTTTTTGCTGTTTTGATTTACAAAATCTTAAAATATGTATATCTATAAAGCTGCCTTGAAATTTATCAAAAAATATTGTTTTTTAGATTTTTGGTATTTTGATTTTTGAAATCCTAAAATCTCTATTTATAAGGTTCATGAAAACCCATTTTAATAATATCCTACAGCTTTAATTGAGAAAATTCCATAAATAATGAAAAAAAGTATCCTAGAATGAGTATTAGCTCTCGAATTATGAATGTTTTTTAAGAATATTACTTTTTTTATTGATTTTCTTTTTCAAAAGAACATGGGCAACCCTCAGTTATAATTGGGAATGGATTTTTTTGTTTAATCCTTATCTAGGAGGTTGGTTGTTGATTCTATATATTCATATATTGATTATAATATTCCTGAAATGTACTATATAGTACTATTCGCTTTTAAATACTCCGTACTACATAGTGTTTGGTATGAGATAGAATTGTCCCATGAGGCCATTGTTGAATGGAAGACAGTTTTAATAATGGGTTTAATAAAAAGTTTTGGCCAAAGTAACATACTGTATATTTCTTAACATTATTGATTCTTTTTTGCTCAAGTAATAGAACACATTATTTAGAAGATAGTATGCAATTAGATTGAAATTTGAATATGACTTCCGGTAGATGATGTACACATCAGTGTTACTGCCATTGATTTATGCATTTAGTTATGTTGGACAGTGCAAGTATATCTATATACTTCAATCCAAATTTTGAAGTACACAGATAAATCTTGCTATTTTACGTTGCATCTCTATCTTTCAATCAATTGCATATATGTTTTCCCCTCTTATTATATTAGGCATATAATTCTTTTTTATATAGAGTTTTCATATAATGTTTTTTATTGCAGGTTTGTATGCCGGGGAGCAGTCTTTCTATAATTTGAACCCTAAAAATTATTAAGTTCAGTGGTTCAAAGACATTGTATATTTTTCACCTTGAACACCACACCCTTTCATTACATGAAAATGAGAATTAAAAATTTAAATTAATGTGTATTTTTACTTTTTTCATGTCAAGTATATATGATCCTTTGCTTTAGTAAAACAAGATCATTATGAAACCAATTAAATCAACTAAAGATAGAGTGAGTGGTGTCTGTCATTTTGATTATTTATATTTTGGATAAATTACTGACCGTGCATGCAACGCACGGGTACATATCTAGGTGAAGTATTTATATCTTTTCTCTTCCATGGCAAGTATCTCATTTTCAAGTTTTATGCATGTTTTAATATACAACGTTGAAGGGGAAACATGATAAGTGCTTTTCCCACCAATTGACCTATGCCATAAACACTATTGGTTTTGTTTGATTAGATTGACGGTTTCACTTGGGCATGAGAAAGGGCGCATCCATTAATCAAAGTCTGCTACTTTAATGGGAAGTTCATCTATTCATCCTTTTCCCCTGTCGAGAGTTGTTCAATCCACGCAGCCATTTCTCACACAGGGTTTCGATTCCCTCTTCTCCTCCATTAGGTTTTTGGTATTTAAGATTACATTTATTCTTCTGCTCAGCTCATCTATTTGGTTTCTAAATTTAAGATTTTTTCTCCTCATCCATTCATTATTCATTGGTTCATAAACTTAAAATATTTGGTATTTCAGCGTACAGAGGATTACGGTGGATGAGGGTGCTGAAAATCGAAGATGTGAAGAAGCACGATCGTTCTGTCTCCAATTGTTTCAAGCCAACTTTCTTTTTTTGATCGAATTTACTCCTGCATATACTCACGGGTAACCTCTACAATTTACTAGATTTTTGTTGACGTTGAGGACTGTGAGCTTTTGCCCCGTAGATTGCTCACTTGCACTCAAGATTTACATCCTGTGAATTTTGCAAGCTCTGATTGGGATTGTTTACTTGGTTTTTATGCATGGAAGAGGCACAAAAAATGATTACCAAATGCCCCAATGAAGGCACATCAAATGTTTTGCATTATGTTGCAATGGACCCCTCAAGTTTTTCTGCTAATGAATACTATATATGTTACAAAAATCTTAATTTATGGATATTCCCTGTTTGTATAATCTTTTGATATAAATATGGGAATTCTTTTTTAGCCATATCCATTTGAACAAGAGTAGTGCAAGATTGAAGGGACAAGAGTGGTGCAAGATTCTTCAGTAGTAGTCAAAATGTGTACCAATGAAAAGTTTGATGGAAAGCCCTTGAAGATAGAGATTCTTAGTAAAAAAGCTACGATGAAAAGCTCCAGTAGGGTCCTTTGTAGGTTAGAAGGAAGGAGATGTGGATGTATGAGTCGAGTTGGTGAAAAGATGGGTTCAGTTAAAATTCTTCTAGACAAGTAACATTGTGATGCCTCTCAAGTATCATGTAGAAGTAAATCTCCTTTTTTTATAGTGTATGCCTCTCAGAATTGACTTGCTGCATTGGAGCGTTAATATTAGTCATTATATTATGTAATGATTGTGCATAAGCTTTGAGGCAAGCTTTAAGCCTTTAGGCATTAGGCTTTTCTGTGTTTAATAATACTACAACAATGTTTTGTATTTCTCAAATACTCCCTCCGTCCAAAAATAAACTTTACATTGCGCGTTACGATGTTTGATTGAAGTTATTTTCAAATTATTTTATATGATAAATGGTATAGAATTAAAAAATAAAAATTATATATTAAAAAACTATATCAAAAGATCTACAAAACTAGAAGTGATATGACTATATTATTTTATTAAATGGGTGATGAAAATAGGCCAACAAAGTAAATAAAGTTTGACCCTGTGAATAATGAACGTAAAGTTCATTTGTGAATGGAGAGAGTAGTTTTTTTCAAAACTATGGGATAATCTTTTTTTAAGTGGAAGGATGTCATCTGAACATACTCCCTCTAACTGTGCTTGAGTATTTATCCATTTAAATAAAAGTAGTTTTGGTACTCTGTATACAAGAGCATCAGAATTATCAATAAATGATTAATAATGTACTATGGAGTATTTATGCAATTGTGATTTTGATTTAAAAACCAAAAACATGAGGACATAAAACAAAATTTTATTCATTAAGTAATTTTTAATAACCCCAATTTTCAAACTTTTGGCAAATTTTTCATCCGTGCATCGCACGGGTACCATACTAGTTTAAAACAAGAGAAATGAGAGAGAGAATAGTAGAGCTAACATAGAAGAGAGGCAACAAGGGTATAATTGTAATGTGGATTATGCTATGTGTACCAGGGGTGTTCAGAAATATCCGATCTGAAATATCCGTCCACGATCCGGGCCGATCCGATCCGAAAAATGGATATCCGATCCGATATTTTAGCTTTCGGATATTTCGGATCGGATACCCGAAAAAAATCGGATCGGATATGGATTCAATTTCTGGAATTTTTTGGATAACCGGATATCCGATTTTTTTTGCTATATGTTTTTGGAATTTTATGGATATATATTATGACTATATGTTTAAATGCAATTAATTTTGGAACTCAACCATTTTGGACTTTTTGCATTAGCATTTTTGAATCTTTTGTTTTAATAGTTTTTTTTGTTTGTTTAAGCAAAATTACCAAAGTTATTTCCAAATTAAATTTGGTATCATTTTTTATTAGGCCATTACTTAGTGGTGGAATTTTTCTCTTAGGAAATCTATATTGAATTTGATATTTTGGGTTGATTTTGCTATTTTAGTTTTTTTTTTTTGTAAATTTTAGCTAAAAACTCAATTTTTCGGATAATCCAGTGATCCGATCCGAAAAATCGGATATCCGAATTTCGGATATCCGAATATTTTCGGATCGGATATGAAATGAGTTTTACATTATTCGAAATTTTCGGATATCCGAATTTTCGGATCGGATCGGATGGGATCGATCCGATTGAACACCCCTATTGTGTAGCCCAAGACTTGTACCCCAATTTGTAACCCACAGTTTTGCACCAACATCTTGTGTTGGTGTAAAACTAATTTTTGTTAAACGCACCAACATTTGTGTCCATTTGAATTTTTATTAACGCACCAACACTTGTGTCGTTGTAAACCATTGAAATGTTTGTGCAAACCTGTGGTGTAGAAATGAGGTATATTTATTGGTGTAAGTGTAGCATGGTCCTTGTAATGTTTAGTCCTATTTTAAGGATAAAAACACAGAAATCCTGTTTTAGATTTAAACTCTATGTTTTAATTCTATTCAGAATAATTTCTTTAAAAAAACAAAAAAAGACGTGCACTGCACACATCACATTGAAGTCTTCGGCGGCCCCAAATTAATGAACCAAATTTAACACGAATATTTTCGTCAATACTCCCTTCATTTCCTTCCCTAGATTTTGCCCAACAGAAACAAAGTCTAGGCATTCGTCACACAGATATCTTACCACAATGGCAACGAAGGCACTGGAAGAAAACGGTGTCGTTTCCCTCTCGTTCGCTGATTACCCGGAAGACGTGCAGCTTTGCATCCTCTCCTTTCTGACGCCGGCTGAGATCTCCGCCTTCGCCTGCACCTCGAAGCGCTTCGTCTCTCTTTGCCGCGACAACCAGCGTCTCTGGTTCTCTATGTGCGACCGCAGGTGGGGATCCAAGACCCTCATCAAGAAATGGGGCAATGGCAAGATCTCCTATAAGCTCCTCTACAAAACGCTACACGAGTGCGAGAATCTCATCGGCTTCTGGCGCCGCAGCGGCGCTGGTGTGGATTCCGGTATTTCGGGTCATCTCGTGTTCTTCGAGTGGGGCCCTTTTTATGTGTCCGGGTCATGGGTTACCCCTATGAAAACGTCTACCTATAAGGTGATCAAGGCTCCATTCCTATGGATGGGGATTAGTTCAGATGGAGAGCCGGTTAACTACCTTGATCTCGAAAGTAGGCTCGAGGTTTCTGAGAATTTGATGGGTTCGGAGGAATCACTGTCGGAATTAGTTCCAGTCAATGTGAATTTCATCGGGAAATGTCATATTGCTATTGAAGAGAATGTGAATTTCTATGTGCACAGTTCTGGTTCCCCACAGAATGCAGCTTTTATGAAGGTTTCAAGTTCAGGGAATGTTAAGGAGGTTTCAAGTACAGGGAATGTGAAGGAAGAGGAGCCCGAGGAGTCCTTTGGCTCCCCAGGAAGCCTGCCTGACCTATCAATGTATGAGATTTATCAGTACTTTGCAAACAAGACGATTTCTTCTGGGAATGGATCATGGAGGAGACAGCGAAGGAGGAAAAAGGAAAGGCAGGGAAGGAGGAAGTGGGGCACGGAGCACTTTGTCAAGGTTGTCAATTGCTCACCCACTCCAGCTAGGCCATTGCAGGGTCTATGGAAGGTTTTGCTCTTATTCTCTTTACTCTTTAGATCTAGTTTTTTTTTTCCAATAAAGCATAATACTTTTTCAATCATGATCAGCAATGCCGGGTGAATTTATTCAATCTTCCTGACTTGGTTTGAAGCCTGTTTGTATCATGAAGCAATAGGAACTGAAAGATTTAATCTTTTTTCAGTATTGCATGATTTAATTGATTGCCTCGCACCTTTTTACTCCGCAATTTTTAATTTTTTGTATCATAAAATCAGTTTTACCTGAAAGGTTTGGTCTTTATTTATCGTCAATTCGTCACATCATTTTATATGACTGGCCTTAAAGATTTTTGGTATCATGAAGCAATGTGAATTGAAAGTTGTGATCTTTATTTAACATTTGCCCATTGTGGATGACTTTCCATGAAAAATTGTTTTCTCATAGGTCAAAAATTAAAGATGCTTCCTTCACCCCCTTTTTACATTCAATCATCCTTTTTTGGAGCGTCCTGAATAATAGTCCAATTTTTCCTGTCAAGGAAGAATGCTCTGGTCCTAATTGATTCTTTCATTCTAATATAAATTCTAATCACAAAAATCATTTGCTTAAACTCGGTGTACAGGTCTATGGAGAGCCTTAATAAGGGAGTAATAGAATACAATGTGCATTTGAATGTTTGATCTTTATTTAGTATTTTGCATGATATAGATGACCTGATATTGGATATCGTCTCGGTAACGTTGAATGTTTTCTGAAGAGTAAAGTGTTTGAGATTGTTCTAGCACTCACTCATATGTAAATCACATCCTAATTACATCTCTGAATGTTTTCTTATGATTGTAGTAGTGCTCACTCATATACTCGAGTAGTAACTCTTAGCACATCCTAATTGCATTACTTATTTAATGTGGTATTATAGTGCATTGTCATTGTTGGATGGGCAAAGCTTCTCTCATAGAACTCTGTCCGCCTCTCTCTGCAGGGAATGAGTGATGACATGAGCCTTGAATTTTATCTTGTTTCATATGATGACATTGGAGGAATTACGTGCCGGAGAGTTGGGGAACTTTCTCAACTCTTCTCTGGGTGTACCCCGGTTTTCTGGACTTCGAGCACTACCTTTATCGAATCTCCCTTATCTTCAGATGAGCAACATATATACGAAAGTCGCATACATCTTCAGCAGCCTCTTGCTGAAGGTGACATTGTTGAGGATTGTATAGCTTCTTCTGATAGCGGGGACGTATCACATACGCTCACAATGAATTCAAGCTATGACTTGGTTATCCCTGACCTGCTGGGAACTAGTTTGAATCCCCGGCAGGTGGAAGGAAGGATTTGGCTTTACAGAAATGGGACATTTGGCTATGGGTTTCTCAGAAATAGTCACATTATAGACTTGAAGCAGATTGCTAGAGATGGTCGCATATTAGATGTGGCCCGATTTAAAGAAGATTGATTGTTTTGTTATGTTTAATTAAAGCAGCTGAGTAGGAAATTTCTTATTGTTTTTGTTGCACATAAAATACTCCGTACTAGACTGGTATGGTGTGCTGGTGGGATTCTGAACCTTAAAGGTTTGTACCACCGTCACCTTTCTGTAACTGTTGTATGTGTGGTGGCGCCGGGTTGCACCGCAACCCCCAAAAGCCCATACTATATATATGGAATAAATGTTTACAATTCTTTAAAACCATTACTGAAAGCCATCCGTCCGTCTATGTTTTAAGAACATTTTATGGCTGATGCATCTTTGATTGATTGGTTCTCGATGGAAGGAATGTGATTTGCAAATTGTATCGTCTTTCATGTTTTCCAAGCACTTTGGTTTCAAAGCAAACAGGCCTATTCCGAAATCTCATGATTCATGATGTAAATGTGTTTTAGCCTTTTCTTTGAGGAAGTAAAATTAAGAGGTGTGCTAGGTCCTTGGTAAGAATGGGAAGAGGAAAAGGAAATCCTACGGGTTGGATACTTGGATTGCTCGTGGACAAATCCTATTTGAAATGGATGGTGTGAGTTTGTCAAATGCTCGACAAGCCGCTAGATTAGCGGCGCATAAACTATGTTCGTCAACCAAGTTTGTTCGGTGGTCGTAAGCTTGGGGAAATTCAAAATAATTAGGTGAAGTATTTGTTCCTGAACGAGGGAAACACTAAGGGAGAGGGATATACTCTTTTTATAATTTTATAATTTTTAGAATCGCCGAAATTGTACGAAGGCGCACGACCCGGATACGTTAAGGTTTCAATTTTTTGTATCCCAACTTGCACAGAGTGTATCACAGACACATATAATGGTTGGTTGTTTGTACGTGAACAAACAATATTTGTTTGTGTCTGTAATACACTGGTGTGGAAGTTGATGTACAAAAATTAGTATACCCCTAACTTTTTCCTAAAATTAATCAAAGCTATACTTCTTAAATGCATTAAAACTAATTAGTTGTGACAGAAATATTATTTTTCTAACACTTGATTTCAGAAGTTATACGAGCATTTCATATCTATCTTATGTCTTATAAGTGTGGGAGGACATATGACAGACATATGATAGGGTACCAAGAGAGGTATTGTGCAAGATCATAGAGAAAAAAGGAGTAGGGATTACTTGTATTTGTGTGATTCCTGTACAATGGTGCTACAACGAGTGTGAGGATTAAAATTGGGATAACTGGGGAATTCCTCATCGGTGTAAGATTACACCAAGGGTCATCGTTAAGCCCATATCTTCCCATCGGTGTAAGATTACACCGAATGTCATCGTTAAGCCCATATCTTTTTACCCTAGTACTGGACATTTTTACCGAGTATATCTAAGAATTTGTACCATGGTGCATACTTTTTGTCTACGACATCATCCTTGAGCGAATCACGAGAGGATTTGAATGAGAAGTTAGATTCGTGGATACAGGCTTTGCAGTTGCATGGCTTGCGTATAAGTCGCAATAAAGCAGAGTTAATGGAGTGCAAGTTTGGCAACGAAAGGAAAAATAGTAACATCGAGGTGAAAATGGGAGAAAATATTATGCCACAAGTAAAGAGATTTAAATATTTTGGGTGTACCATTCAAGACGGCGGAGAAATAAAGGATGATGTTTTTCTCAGGATTCAAGCCGGTTGTTCAAAATGGAATTTAGTCTTGTATTGTTCTTTTTGTTCAATCAAATCATTTTCTTCATTTCTATTCTTACACTACTATAGAACAAGGAAAAATTAAGTGTGCGGTTTTTCTGTTATGCGCGCCTTTTTACCCCAAACCAAAAGACACCGCTTATTAATTATCCACTCTATAAAATGCGCTATTAAATACTCATTCTGTAGTAGTGTTATTTGTTCCCCTTATAGTGATGACATCTAATTTTTTTTATAGATGACATGAAAATATTGTCTTAACATAACATTAATTCATTCATTTAATTTCATTTTAGTCATTACGATTATATAATAAATAATTTTATCCCTTTATTTTTTCTTAAAAAAATAAATACACAAATTCTTATTTTTCATAGTAATTTTCTTACAAAAATAAATATGAATTAACATGCAAAGATAATAATTTCATGTCATAGTAAAGTTCAATAAATAAAAAGAGAGAATCTAAAATGACACAACTCTCTTTACCCGTCTAATTGAGAAGCCTACGGTGATTTATTCATAAAATAATGATTTTTACCTTCGTAACCCACCTCGTAAACCCTCCATTCCAGCCCCTCCTCTTTGCTCCTTCCCTTAATTAATATTACATTTTTTTTAATAGTGATTAAGAAAAGGGATGGGAGTAGGAGTTTAAAAGGTAAGTTACGGGATAACGAATTATCAATTTTACGAATGAAATTATCTGAATTAAATTAGCGAAAAATTGATGTCAGGTACCTCATATTCTAAGATAATAACTATCATGTACCTTGTGTTTTTAAAATGTACTTTGAGGTACCTTAAAATATTAGAAAAGTGACCATTGAGGGATGATCCGTTCTTCCTCTACCATCTCTATCATCATCATCTCTTCTTTATTCTTTTTTTCCCTTTCTTCTATCCTCCTCCTCATCCTCCTCCTCCTCCTCCCCCTCCTTCTTCACCGCCTTGCAATCAGACTTAGCCCCCCCTCCCATCCCCATTTTTTCTTCTTCCATTTTTTATTTTGAATTCTTTTTCTTCTATTTTTATTGTTATTATTATTATAAAGTAAATTTTATTAGTCGCTGTTAAAAAATAGTACAAAGAGAATAATCCAAACTTATAATTTGTTCGGATTTACAATGGGAAAATAAAATAAAATAATAAAGTAGAAGGTCGCCGGAGGTCGGAAACCAAACCGAAGAAGGAAAGCGAGGTCGATGGAGCTTTCCTCAAGGTGGTATCGCCCGCCTCTCGCACTGGCCAACATGGAAGATCTCCTCCCAAGATAAAACCGCTAATGTGCAAGGTCTAGAGCGGTAGAGCCGTGCACCAACGAACGAGAACGACCGGAGAGTTAATTAGTATGGTAGAAAAGTGAGCGAAAAAATGAATGAAAGTTGGAATGTAAAGAGAATATTTTTGAGTTGGTATGTACTTCCACTGCAATTCGCCTCTTCTTATATAAGAGAGACTTTGGCTGTTCGGATTGGCTGACATTAAACACGAGGAGTCTCTAGAGACTTTTCACACTGCATGCATGCTTCGTTATTAATGATCCATTCCTCTCATGTTGGACAAAAAGATAAGAGTTAGCCCACGCCCTCGCCACATTACGATGCGTCGCGTGTACGCACGCGTGCATGCGTGTCATGTCCTGTCGTGCCGAGCCAAGGTAGACGGACGGACAACGAAAGTGATGCGCGAGGGATCCTTTTCTTCCTCCTTCTCAAATTTCTTTTAGCATATAATTCAATGCTAGCATATAAATGGTGGAAGATGAAAGGTCCCAAAACTGATGTGGGATGCATGTGTTTCCTCTTTCTAAGTATCCGACTTCGTGAAGTAATATCTCATTCAACCGGGCACCATATTTGACACACAATACATCGAAACACTCATCTCACTTAGGAGGTTATTTGTCCACAACTATTTTGGAAAAAATAATTTTGTGAACCCACCAAATTTACGTCCGAAATAGTCCCCTTATAAGCCAAAAATTCCAACAATCCCCCACATGAATGAAAATTGATTCATGTGTTTGGCAATAATTCTATTGTTGAAGGACTGGAAGAATAGGTGGGCTTTCATGCCTTTGAACCTACTCTTTGTAGAGTATACCTTTTTTACTGGCTATTTAGTAGAGCGTGATGTATTTGAACTGTACTGCAGTTTATGTAAATGATGATATATCATACACAAGTTCCAACTAACCATCGTTCCATTCTCATGGTGTGCCCGTTTTGGTCCTAGAACACGCGTCTGGTTCTGCGAGAGTGTCAGACATGATTAGCCTAAAATCCTTCTATTGAAGTGACCGCGCTTCACTCTTACATAGGTGATTCTTCTAAGAGTATCCCGTTTACTCCACTTGAACCCCCATTGTCCATAGTTCAAGAATCATTAAAGCATATTAAACTTGCTAGCCTCAACATTTTTAGGAGTCACTGTTTCTTAGTAAGAATGGGGGAGTTTTAAGGTTGGTGATCCGGCTCGCTTCCACAGTGACCATGCTTCGTCCCACAAGTAGGTTGTCACATTGAACCTTGGTACCACTTAGGTTGGGTTTTCCTTCATGCAACGTTTCCAGCACATGATAGAGCTTTCAGACCCATTCTTATCACTAACTTCTCATGTTGTTTATTTGTTAACCCCTTGGTTAATGGATCTGCTAATTTATCCTTTGATCTGACATAGTCAATTGAGATGATGTCTGTATTGAGAAATTGCCTAATAGTTTTGTGTCTACGACAAATATGTCTAGACTTACCATTGTACATATTGGTCCGAGCTCATCATATAGCAGATTGGCAATCACAATAGACGGATATAAGTGGAACTGGTTTATCCCATTTTGGAACACCTCAACAGAGTTTAGAGTCATTCGGTATGTTGTGTGCACTCATCTAGTGCTATAAGCTCAGACTCCATAGTGGATCTCGCAATTAATGTGTGTTTTGAGGATTTGCACAATATAGCTGCATTGTCTAACATAAAGATATATCCGCTCTTGGATTTTTAATCTTTATTGTTCGCAATCTAATTTACATCGGTATAGCCTTCTAGAACAGATGGATATCTACCATAGCACAAACTATAATTTCGAGTATACCGAAGGTATCTCATCACTCAGACTATGGCCTTCCAGTGCTCGATGCTTTGGTTTCTAGTATACCTACTCAGTTTGCTAATTGCACAAGCTAAGTCAGGCCGTGTGCAGCTCATGAGGCACATTAAGCTTTTGATATTTCTTGCAAATTCAGTTTGAGAATTTTTATTCCCTCTGTATTTACCCAGGTGAGCATTCACGCCTATCAATGTTTTGGCCACTTTAGTATCATCCTTGTTGAATTTTTCAAGGATTTTGCTAATGTAATGGAATTGGCTGAAGCTCAGACCGTTTGATCTTCTTATTATTTTGATTCCAAGAATCACATCAGCGAGAGACCCAAATCTTTCATATCGAATCGTGCGTTTAACATGTCCTTGGCGGACTTGATGTCATTACTTCCAATGATGAGTATGTCATCTACATACAAATATAGAATGATATATCATTCAGGTGTGTC